ATAAATCGGATCTCATGAAACTGAAAAGCTTCTGTAAAGCAAAAGACACCTTCGTCAAAACAAAACGACTGCCTACAGATTGGGAAAGAATCTTCATCAACCCTTTATCTGACAGAGGGCTAATATCCAGTATATATAAAGAACTAAAGAAGCTAAAAACCAGCAAACCAAGTAATCCAATTAAAAAATGGGGAACAGAGCTAAACAGAGAACTCTCTGTAGAGGAATATCAAATGGCAGAGAAATGCTCAAGGTCATTAGCCATTAGGGAAATGCAAATCAAAACGACCCTGAGATTTCACCTTACACCCATGGCCAAGATCAAAAACTCAAGTGACAACACATGCTGGAGAGGTTGTGGAGAAAGGGGAACCCTCCTCCACTGCTGGTGGGAATGTAAACTTGTACAACCACTCTGAAAATCAATCTGGCACTTTATCAGACAATTAGGAATAGCGCTTCCTCAAGATCCAGCTATACCACTCCTAGGCATATATCCAAAAGAGGCTCAAGTACACAATAAGGATATTTGCTCAACCATGTTTGTAGCAACTTTATTTGTAATAGCCAGAAGCTGGTAACAGCCCAGATTCCCCTCAACTGAAGAATGGATGCAGAAATTCAGGTACATCTACACAATGGAGTGTTACTCAGCAATGAAAAATAAGGAAATCATGAAATTTGTAGGTAAATGGTGAAACCTGGAAAGGCTCATCCTGAGTGAGGTATCCCAGAAGCAGAAAGACACACACGGTATATACTCACTCATATAGACATATAACATAGGATAAACCCACTAAAATGTGTGCATCTCAAAAAACTAATCAAGAGAGAGGACCCTGACTAAAACCATCCTGAAAGGCAAAGAGGATGGACATCAGAAGAAGAAAACAGGAAACAACCTAGGAACCTGCCACAGAGGGCCTCTGAAAGGCTCTGCTCTGCAGACTATCAAAGCAGATGCTGAGACTTATGGCCAACTGTTGAGCAGAGTGCATGTAATCTTATGTAAGAAGTGGGAAGTAGTAAGATTTGGAGAGGACAGGAACTCCACAAGGAGAGCAACAGAAGCAGAAATTTGAACACAGGAGTCTTCCCAGAGACTCATACTCCAACCAAGTACCAGGCATGGAGGTAACCTAGAACCCATGCACAGATGTAGCCCATGGCAGTTTAGTGTCTAAGTGGGTTCCATAGTAATGGGAAGAGGGACTGCCTCTGACATAATCTGATTGGCCTGCTCTTTGATCACTTCCCCCTGAGGGGGGAGCAGCCTCATCAGGCCACAGAAGATGACAATGCAGCCACTCCTGATGTGATCTGATAGACTAAGATCAGAAGGAAGGAGAGGAGGACTTCCCCTATCAGTGGACTTGGGGAGGGGCATTCGTGAAGAAGGGGGAGGGAGAGTGGGACTGGGAGGGGAGGAGGAAGGGGCTAATGGGGGGATACAAAGTGAATAAAGTGTAATAAAATTTTTAAAAAATGTGACATAATTGTTTCTGTTTACAATTTTTATAATTTCTACAGTTGTTTGAAATCTGTGTTCATAAATAAATCACATCTTTCTGTGAGGTTAGTAAATATTGAAGTTTATTTTTTTTCCTATCCAAATTTGTGGATTTGGATATTTCCCCTCCCTGCAAAAATACAACTACCTGATCAGTTTGCTTGGCTAGAGAAAAGCTTTGCATAGAAACATAATTTGAATTCAGGATAAACTGGCAGAGAAAAATTGTGGATTCCTGTTTTAAAAAAAAAAATTACATTAGTCCCTTTTGATCATGAACCCTCCTTGGTAAATAAAATTGAAGTTAGAATGTTAAGAAAGGTACTAGGAAAGAATGTCATTAATCACATCTTTTGTGGAACAACTCCAGCAGGTCAGCACTGTACTAAAGAACTTTCCTGCATCCTCAAATAACTTTGCAAAACTGAAGCTCCATTTTCAAATGAGAAAATGTACACATGCAGGCACAATAACAACCAGATATAAGGTTTTCAGGTAAAAACTGTCTTTTTCAGTTGGTAATTTCAGAAGAACGTTTGTGTCTAATGATAATTTGGACTTCCTCTACAATGAGCCCTCCCATTCAAAAAGCACACTGCTACTAGAATTGCCTGGTACAGATGGTCATCTTAGCATCTTTCTTCTCATTTTTCCATTCATATCTTTTTGGTGCCTCCCATCTCCATGTTGCTTTGCTCAGCTTTAGTGGTAGGAAAGTACGGACAATCGTTTTATATAGGTTGGAGAACTTTCTTGAGCTTTGGATAGGAAGTAACTGTTCCCTGCCCTCTGACAAAGTCTTAGTGGAAACTTTTTGCTGCAAGAAATAACTTTTTGCTGCAAAGAACCATGTTGAGAATTTAAAGTAAACTCACTCTTGAGGCTAAGATGATAACTTACTAAGAACACTTGTAGTATATACATGCAGACCTGAGTTCTGATACCTAGAACCTGGATTCTTTTTAAAAGCTAGATATGGCCACACATACATGTCATGCTAATGTTAGGTGGGAAGTCAGAGACCAGCAGATCCCAAGAGCTCACAGGCTAGCCAGTATAGCAAAAACAGCAAACTTCAAGTTTAGTGAGAACCTATTTTCTGTCTCAAGGAAATAAGGTAGATAACAATAGAAGACATCCAGAGTCATTCTTTAGCCTCTGTGTGTGTCTACAGACAAGCATATTACCATATACATATGCCACCACTACCATCACCAAACACACACACACACACACACACACACACACACACACACACTTTTAAAGGAAAAGTTATTTTCCTGTCAAAGAAATCTACATATACATCATTTGGTCTGTCATTTCCAGATAAACAGACCCATTATCCTTTTGTGCCTAGAGGCAGAGTTAGGTTTCAATTCCCAGTAAAAAAAAAAAAAAAAAAAAAAAAAAAAAAACAGCTAATAGGGTAATTGAGCATCTGTGGTTTATCTGTTTGCTTTGTTTTCTTCCTTCTTTATGCAATATGAACAGATGAGCCACAGCTTCTATTCCAGTTCCAAGAGCAACTTCAGAATGTAAAGTAATGGCAATAGGCATGAAAGTAGCTCAGAGCTGGTCAGAGTTATAAAACTTATGAGGAAGAATTTGGAATAGAAATGCTCAGAAATCTGTATTGTGTGCCTCCCCTTTGTCTTGCTCAGTTTGTGATCCAGAGAGGGACAAAGCTATGGAGAATAAGACTAGGTTCAAAAGAATGCATAGTGTGTTTTAGTATAATCTTAGGCTGTCTTATTAAAGGGCATGGTGGGAAACAACCATGATAGTAACACTAATGGTGAATAGTAATAATGACTAATGCCTTTGTCTCATGTTGCCACTGTAGGATGTCAGTGGGCTGGATTGCTCTGCCTGAGACCATGTTGATGTCCAGGGGCTGGCTGTACTGCCATCAGGATCCAAACTGATCTAAGTGGCCTGTGCTTCTACCTGAGGCCATGGTGACGTCCTGCTCTAGGCTGCCACTGAGGGCCATATCTGGGTCCATGATCCTGCTGCAGCTGAGGGCTGTGTCCATGTCCATGGCCCAAGTTACCACCAAAGGCCATGTGGATGTTATTATCCTGGGCTGCCCTCTGAGGCCATATGGATATCCAAGCACTGTGCTAAGCTGGCTCTGTCCCTCATGTGGGCAGCATGGGAGAGGTAGCTCTGATAGCATTGTTGCAGGAGAGCTCAGCCTGATGAAGTGAGTGCAGAAGAGCTGGCCCTAAGCTCAAGAGAACAGGAGAGCTGGCCTCACTAGTTGCAACATTGGGGAGAGCCCTCTACCTCCTGCCATCATGCCTGGGCAGCACAGTAGAGCTGGCCCTGCTAGCATGGGGGGGAAGAATGGAAGAACTGGCCCTGCCCCTTGCCTGAGCAAATTGGGAGAACTGGCCAAGGCTCAAAGTTGGCCTACACCGTCTATGAACTGCTGGATCTATGAACTAGCAGAAGCCAGAGGCTTCAAACCAGACCAACAACTCATCGCAATGAACATTTGCAAGTAAAGCTGTTTGAGTAAAAGGGTATGCTGTGTAACACACAGTGACACACCACAGTTTTCACCAGTGACATGGGGTTTGGGGTCTTGTTTTGTTTTGAGGATTTTGTTCTGTTTTGTTTTGTTTGGGGATGAGGTTACAAGGACAGAGGGTGAATATGAAGGGACAAGGAGTTGAATGGGGTTGGGGTTCATGGTGTGAAATTCACAAAGAATCAATAAATAGTTAAAAACAAAGAAAGTAAAATCTCACTGATGTAAAAAACAAAACAAAACAACAAAAAAAAAAAAACACAAAAAAAAGAAACCAAAGAGCCTCTTACCCCTGTCTGTACCCTTTATTTGCTTCCCAGCTATATGAGATGAACAGACATCCTCTGCACTAGGTTCATACTATAATATTATGGTTCTACAGTGATCAAGGACTGAAGCCTTTTACATTATAAACTGTTTTATTTAGGTATTTATCATGGCTACTGTGATGGTTTGAATAAGACTGTGTCCCCTAGGCTCACATATTTGAAAGCTTAGTGAGAGGGATTAAGATGTGTGGCCTTGTTGTAGGAAGTGTGTAACTGGGGATGGGCTTTGAGGTTTTAAAAGTTCAAGCCAGATCCAGTGTCATTCCTTTTCTGCTTCCTGCAAGTCCAGATGTGGAACTCTCGGCTTCTTTTAAGGACCATGTCTGCCTGCATGCCACCGTGCTTCCCACCATGATGACAATGGACTAAACTTCTGAACTGCAAGCCAGGCTCAATTAAACGTTTTCTTTAGTAATAGTTACTGTGGTCATGGTGTCTTTTCACAGCAATAGAAATCCTAAGACAGCTATGGAAAACCAACGTTCTCCTCATTTCATCTCTGTCCCCATTAAAATAAAAAATAATATTGATTTTAATCCACTCTCCTTTTCTGGTTACTAAAGAAACCATTGTAGTTTTGTTTTCTTGTTTCACAAAAGCATCCAAAGGCTGGTGTGTAGTGCTTTTTTTTTTTTTTTTAATTCATTTTCAAACGCAAACTCACATGGATTGATTCTTCAGGTCCCTTCACTAGGACCCGACACATTATGAATTTCAAACAACCGTGCAGTGACATTAACGGATTCTTGTGCTGCAGAGTCACTGGGTGCAGAGAGCAGTGAAACATTCCCAAAACAATCACTAGACATGCAGAATGCCAGCCAGAAGCATGGGTCACTTTCAGGGGTCTTGCTGCAGGGAGCATGAGGTTGTATTTTGTGTGCACTGAAAACTGTGTAAGTAAGCCAGCTGAGGCCAAGGGAGTGAAGCACCCTGTTTCTTCTGACCTAAAGAGGTCTTCCAAAGGAAGCATTTCCAGTTTCCAAATGTGAGGGCCACAGATTCCTTTCTACATGCTGTAGACTTACAAAGTCATGAAGTCAAAGCTAAGCCATCATGAGCATGAAAGCTGTCTATATAACCTACCCACCCACCCTTACTTACTCCCCAGCATGAACACAGCAACCAACATTATACCCAAAAACCCCAAGACCTGCCTGCCTCCCCTGGGTTTAAGCATGGACACAGGCCAGGCAAGCCTCAGGTTCCCAGACCTGTTAGAGTGTAGCTATGTTGGTGGATCCTGTATACAGGTGAAAAGTGCCATTGTCGCTCCAGTTGTGAAGGGCAGGACCTGGAGGCAGTCTGCCTAAAGATCCCTAGCCCATGTGCTTGTACTGGGATCGATCTCTGGGGATCTGCACCTGGTTGGCAGTCATTTTATGGTGGATGTGGTAAATCACTAGTGTTATCACGATGACAAGGCCCAAGATGAGGCCCAGAATCAGCGGCAAGGTCTCTTCCAACTGCTCTCGCTCATCCACTGGACATTTATGCTCTGAAATGAGAAAGAAGAAAAGCGGTGAGCTCTAGTGAAAATATTCTGAAGGTCAGGCCCTCCTAGCAAAAGCAGGATAAAGGCAAAGGTGGAACAACCTCTTAGGAAAGCCTTTTAGATTTACAGGTCACTTTTTTTTAGCTAACCTTAATATTTCTACATAATATAAACTAAGCATTGGTCAGTTTAGCAAGGCAGTAATCAGTTATTAGATTTCTGACAGCCATCAAAAAATCCAGGGAATTTATTTAATTTTAATTTACTTGAAGAATTTACTCAACTCTCGAATGTTTTGGAATTAGATATAACCACTCTCATTTTTATTACATTTTTTAACTTTTAATTGAAATCTAACATGCACAGAATTACTTGCAAACACAATATATTCAAGAAGACTGAAAATAACTTATGCTGGCAATGACTGGAACATGTGGAGCTCAACACTTGCTGAATATAGTAAAAACTGTCAAGCCGTTAAAGTGTTAAACTATCTGGTTAAACTGTTAAACTATTAAACAGTTTGTTGATCCCTTATAAAGAAAAATACACATCTGCCTTTGAACCCAGCATTTCTTTCCCTATAACAATATCACCCAAAAAGAAAATGATAAGACTAAAAGGAAAATATCCATAAGAACTATTGAGAAAAATCAAATCTGGAACATCAAAATATTCATAATGGAATAAACTGCAGTATATTCATAAAATGTACTATTATTCAACAATAAAATATGGCTACAAATTAGAAAGTTAGTGAATTTCAGAATCCTTATGTTGAGTAAATATTGCCAGACACCAAAAAGTACAGATTATATCATCCCAATCCCTATGAAGTTCTTGAACAGGTAAAATTAAGCTCATGGTCCTAGAAACCTGAAAGGTATTCACACACAGGAGAAGGAATGCAAGAGAACTTTGGTTGTGATGAGAATGGTTTGTACTTTAATCAATGTCTGGATGTCAAGTATATGTAAAAATGCATTGAATTATGTACTATCAATTGTTCTGCACTTTAAACATGACACTTTAAAATGCATACATACTTTAAAATTTGGACTATAATTTTAAATAATGTATACCTTGGTGAATATTTACATTATAATAATCCATGTAGTCTGCATTTAGACTGAGAGAGAACATGCCAGCAACACTTCACAACTATGCTTTCACTATCTTAAAATCCAAAATTATGTAATAGCCCTGTGTTTCCAATCTTACCTAGAACAAAGGGAGAGAATCAAGAGCAGAAGGGGAAGGGCGGGAGAAAAGGAGGGAGGAAGGGTGGGAGAAGAGGAGGAGAATGGGAAATTCTAGAAGCCCTTCTGATAGTCACACCTTGTAGATAACTAAGGGACCTTTCAACAAACTCTTCAGTCTTGTGTGCAATAACTCAAATTTTGCTATCTCTTCCAAAGGACTGAGGCTTCAAGTCAATATGTACCAGCAAACATTTGCTGAGTCACTACTATATGCTAGACTCTTCCTAAGTTCCTGTGATGTTATTGTCTTCTCACCATACACAGGATAAGCAGAAAGAGCAGGGAAGCTTCCTGAGCCCTGGAAATCATTCCCCTCTAATAAGAACGAATGGGAAATTACACTCCAGTATACAGCTTCTAAACACTTTCCTGATTCCTTTTTTCTTTATTTATTTCTTTTAAGATACTTTCATTTTGTATATTAAGTCTGTCCTTGAACTCATAATCCTCCTGCTTCAGCCTCCTGGGATTAAAGGTGTACATTGGCACACCTAGATTATGGTCCTTAAATTAACATTCTGTTTTAAACACAAAGGTTATCACTAATGGAATGCCACAACAACTCCAAAAAAAAAAAAAGACATTATTTAATTTTTCTGCATAAGCAATGGAGGAATCACAGGGCTAAGCACTGTGCCCAGAGGTAAAGTAAGCCCCATTGGAAACAAACATACGGTCTCACAGTGTAACTGCAGCATAGCTAAGGCAGAGAGAGGTGGGGGAAGAGGTAAGAACACTATTGTTGTTTTTCAAAATTTGTCTTCTGTTACTTTAGGAAAAATCTGAACTAAAGCCACTTGAAAGGGGAATATGAGATGAAATCAAGCTATAGAAATGTCAAAAAGCGTAATAGGAAAGCCACCATAGAGGCATATAATGTAATCCCAACCTTAAGAGGCAAAAATTAAGAGAATGTCAGCAAGTCTGGAGTGAGCCTGTGCTGCACAGTGAGACCATGTCTCAAAATAGCTAATCTCAGAAATTTTGTTTCAGTGATAAAATGCTTACACATAATACTTTATTCTGTTCTCTATCACGTAAAGCTTATGACCCATTAAAGGACATTTGGTGAAAATGTGAACATGTAATCAGAATAGTGTTTATGAACAAAATAAAATAAAATAAAATGCATGGAAGGCTGAAAAGACACTCAAAATTCACCGATCAAAGTATTTTTTATTCATCTGAGATTCAACAACGTGTGTGCTTCGTTACTGATATATGCATGCTGGCTATGATTTGGGATCCTTCATACTCTGGCTGGACTAGGCTTTAAATCACACAAAACACAGGCCTGCGTATTTGGTACATATTAGAGAAAGATGAACAGCAACTCAGTGACTTGGGAAACAGATCAGACAATACAGAAAACATCTGATGCCAGCTGCACAGCCAACTAGGCTCCGTTCATCTTAACACTGTACCCCCAGATCAGGTTCTGATTGGTGGTTGTGGCCTTTGTTTCTTGTATTGCATTTTAAATCTGTATACACTATCTGGAAACATTATATTTTTCATTGTGCCCCAGTGGAGCACTACTAGGACAGGCAAGATGTCAAACTGGGGCTCTCCTAACCTCCAGACTGTTTCTGAATGAATAGAAGGATCGCCTTTGTGTAGCCGGGAATCCCTCTGCTGTCTGACAGTGCTAGGTGTTGCTAGAGATAAGATTTATCCTCTTTTACATTGTGTGTGGGCTGTCTCTGCTCTTGAGTTTTGTTCACTGAGAAACTATTAGCGTGAATGGCAGGTTCATCAAGACTTACGTATTATATACGAAAAACATAGTAACGTAATGATGATTGGCTGAATCTTTGTGCTGGGATCACAGCATGTGCTGTGTACACCATTTCTCACTAGACAAGAAGGGTGCATACGTGCCGCCAATACGTGTAACAGACATGCACATGGTCCACCCATTCTCCCCTTGGTCTTCACCATACCAACACAATCCGATGGGCTTTAATTGCAAGGCAGGTCAAAAATTCCAGGAAACTGATGCCCTTAAAACAGCGGTTAGTAATGGATGGCATTGGTGAGTGTGTGGCCAGAACTCTATGGCATGCCACACCTTGGCTCCAAAAGACAGTGACTGTACACAGAATTCTATGACTGATTGAATGGCCCTGTGCTCAGGTTCCACATATAAGCCTTCAACACAATCCTCAGTGGTGGGCATTGGAATCACCTCCCTCTGGCTGCTTACTCTGGAGGTATTGACATGCAGTAATCCATGATAGCAAAGGGAATAATTCCACACTGGGGAATAATATATCAAACACAAGCCTACATGTTCTGGAATCTGCAGACCATCAAAATGCTTATGACAAGGCATCTCACCAAGGCCTTCTTTCATGGGTGTGGCATAGAAGAAAGTCTCCAGTACAGCATTAGCTCCTACATGCACCGTCTCTCAGTCCAGTGGTTAGAAAAATGAAAAAAAAAATGCTCAGAGAGTCAGTGGTGCAGAGTTCAAGATTAGCACCTTTATCTAGCAAGTGCAACACCCTGGGCTCAATTTTCAGCACAGAACATTGAAAGTAAAGGAAAAGGCAAAAACCAAAGTGTAAATGCTCATGAATTCAGGGTTTTCTGGACCTCTTATACTCCTGTGTATGTGAGGATCTTAGTATCTTTTGTTTGACAGTTTTTCCCAATATACTTGTGACCTGTTTTAAATATCTATAAATGTGAGTTTCTAATAAAGGAGACCAGAGACAAACTTTATGCTCTATTGAGTTTTTCTGACATTACATGCCAAATTTTTCTTTCATCCAAGCCATTAAAATAGCCAGAATTATTCACTCCTCCCAATGAAGAATCTCCTATGCCATCAGCCAGAAATCCCCTAGATCCTCAAGAGGTTATACTATGAATTAATTGCAGAAGGACAAGTTAATTAACCCCAGCTGAGAAACACAGGGTGCTTTGAACAGCAGGTGACAGCATAAAGTGTGTTTGGTATACAAATGAGCCAAATGTGCCCTCTCCATTGTTTATTTCTTTATTGCAGGCTGAGACCCTTTAGCTCAAAAGCCTACTGATGCTAAACTCAAATTTTTATGAACCCAATCATTTTCAAAACAACCCAAGTAGGCAAATGTTTAGTCATTTGGTGCCTGCTTTTTTGTATAGCCCTAGAAGCCTCACTCAATGGCTGTTGCCTATTGATAAGGAAGGGCCTTGTAGTTATAAGGCCACAAACCATGGCAGCCTCTATAGACTCAGTCACACAGAGGAATCTCCAAATTCCTCTCACTCTTGTTTTTAGTTGCTTACTGTTTTTTACTAAGAAATATAACAGTTACTATTTCTTCAGACCTGCAAAAATATCATTTCAGTGAATGCATGATCAATCCCTTTTTAGAAGGTAATTGTACATTTAATCATATACCATCTTTTAATAGTTGAGTAATTTGAATAACAAAACTATAGTACATTGAAATGAGTGTGTCATAAATTAAAAGTAAATATATAAGCAAAAATAAAATATTTAACTAAACTACAATGAGCTTCCATATTTTCTGAAAATGCCTTAAAAACTGCTTAGATGTGAGAACTTCATCAGCCTTAAAAGAAGTCCAGAGAAGACTGTGCTCTTAACCACTGAGCCATTACCACCGCCATTTCGAATCTGATTGGCCTGCTCTTTGATCACTTCCCCCTGGGGGGGAGCAGCCTTACCAGGCCACAGTAGAGGACAATGCAGCCACTTTTGATGAGAACTGATAGACTAAGATCAGAAAGAAGGAGAGGAGGACCTCCCCTATCAGTGGACTTGGGGAGTGGCATGCATGCAGAAAGGGGAGGGAGGGTGGGATTGGCAGGGGAGGAGGGAGGGGCTTATGGGGGGATACAAAATGAATAAAGTGTAATTAATAAAAAATAAATAAAAGATTTAAAAAAAAAAAAAAAGAAGTCCAGAAACTATTTAACTTGACATTGTAAAATTTTTGAATTACAAAAAAAAAAAAAAAAAAAAATATATTTATCTGTCAAAACTTGTTTTGGACATCATCATTTCTAATGTATTACCAATATTGCTGATATTATTTTGTAGGCCATGTTATCAGTACATCTCGCAGTATGTCATCTACCACCCAAAACAAATGAAAATTGGTCTCACTGCTTTAAACAGCAGTAAAAGTTGGCTTTTGTTTAGATATTCATGAGAATTTTCATGCTTTACCTAAAGCGTTTGTCTATATCCCCTCATACAGCTTGCACTGCTCCTACGCTGCTGAACAGTCACTAGGCACAGGACCCCCTTTCCTCCAGGAAGTCCCTAACCTTTCTCTCCTCTCCAAATGTCTTCAAATTATGACTCTCCCTCTGTACTATGGGGAGCTTCCCATCTTCTATAACCCCTACCAATCCCCACCCACCAAAGCTTGCTCTATGTCTCTGCCTCTAATCCTTCAAACCCTTAAAGGATTCTGTAAATCAACGCATCACCTGGAGCTTGATGTGTGGAGCCCCACCTCAGGGCTAGAGAAGCAGACTGCTTGTTAATGTCACAACTGTGTTTTCTGCCATTCAAACTCACTATGATAATTAAAATTAAGATCAAAACTATCACTAAATCCAATGCGTTTAAAGGGAAATGTGTGATAAAGATGTCAACCCTCATCTGGCTGCTCTCAGCCCCAGTGGTTGTCCACTTAACCATTTTACTGACCTTTCTTTGTTTATCTCATACCATAGGCTAAGTGGGCAGCTGTGAAGAATGTCAGATAAAACCTCCTGACACAAGAAAGGGACTTTTCACAACATCCCCCTGGACATTTTCAAACATGCATAATACACATAAATATGAACACACACATCTGAATGTGCATACAAGAGCTATAGTGGCTATGTAGGTATATAACCAGACAGCCTCTCGTCTGGCAGGTACAGTCCACTCACAGACACATAAACACAACACACCTGGGAATTCCAGTGTTACAACCTCGAAAGGCAACCCAAAGGACTCTTTCCAATTCCATTAAGTGGCATACAACAATCTTTCAAGACAGTGGTGGGCAGACGTTATAAAGCATAGACAGGAGGAGTCAGGAACAAAAGACTATATTCCACACAAAGCCACAAGAATGATTCTGAATAAGGCTTGCCTCCTCCCAAGAGTACTAAAACCTGAGCCTGGGGCACTATACAGGTGAGAACATCAAAATTACTAGCTAGAAATGCCTGGGTAATATTTCAATTTGCCTGTGCCTATTCTGTCTCTATTCGGGAAAATATGCATGCTTATAGTCTCTATGTGTGATGAGCAATCTTAACCGTCCACTACCTTGGAATGGACACAAACTGTTTGTAACTAATTCTCTGTGATGAATTTCACTAATTTTTCAATGAAGTAGTTCTATTCTTTATCCAGAAGTTGTCTGTATATAAATTTAAACATATATCATATATAATTAAAAACAATTTAGAAATAATCCAGAATATATTTGAGTGGGATAGTGGTGAAATCAACCAGTAAAATCAACAATTATAACACCAGAAGTGGCAAGAAACAAAGGAGAGCCAGCCAGTAACGACTGATGAGCAGACAGCAAAAGCCACTAAAAGGTCTCACTAGAACTTAAATGTGCCTGTAGTAATAACCATGTGGAAGGATACTACATGGTCCAGTATTCTTGTAAAGAGTTTCTGGGTCATCAACAACATACTATGTCATATTATATGTAATTCATATATACACATTCATATTCATATATGCATTAAAATACATATTTTCAGTGTAAGAAAGACAGTGCTACATTTTATAAATACTCCTATAATAAGTAAATATTTAAAATTTTGGGATCCTGAGCTCTACAGCTTAGTTTCCACTCCTAAAATATACACATATGCAAGACTCTGTCAATTGAATATCAGCACATCTATTTCATCAGTTACCTGGACATCTGAATTGATCTAGTGCTGTGTTGGATGTTAATATATACAAGATGAATAATAACCGGCCTAGGTGAATAACCGATCCTGGACCCAGAATGTAGCAGCATGGTAAAGCATTAAGATGAGAACCTGATTTCCATCCAAAAGCATCACAGAAAGACGTAAGAAAAGAGAAAGGGAGAGAGTGGGTGGGGGTAAGAGAAGGAAAGAAATGGAAGAAAGGAGGAGGTGGAGGAAAAGGAGAAAGAGGAGGAGAAAGAAGAGAAGCAGGAGGAGATACACAAAAGAATTTGGCCTTTCTCTTAAGGAAAATTTTACCATCTTAATTCTCAAATGCTTTGGGGATAATTATCCAAGGTTAATAGAAGCATTTTGTAGGTTATAGATTATGCAGTAGCTTCACTGGGGTAAAAGAGGAATAGCTTGGGAAATAGTGGTAGGTAACTCTGATGGGGATCCTCCAACATTATGAACATTTAAATAATTCATTCTATTCACTTAGTAATCCCCAACCCAGTGGAAAGTACAAATAAAGTAATCAGAATCTGCCTATGGGAAATAAGCAGAATATCAAATTGCCTTTAAATAATTTCTCACATAAGAGTGAAGAAAATAAAAAGGAGTAAAGGGGTAAGTAGGGGTGGGTATTGCAGAAAGTTGACACATTCACCTTATAACCTCTACATCCTGTGAAAATTGCCATGTGAGCTTAGAAGAAACTGCAGGCAAAAAACCATCCTGGTAGCCCAGTAAGTCCCTATTCTAACCCATCTTTAAAATCAGGCCCCTTTCCTTTTCTTAGCACCATCCTAACCTACCTTCACTGAAGACAAAATCAGAAATGATGTCAAAGGGTTGGATGTGCACCGCAGACAGGATCATGGTGACAGTTTTCTGAGGATCACTGGAGGCCAGAGAAATGGTCTGTTGAGCCTGGCACTCATAAGACATCCCAGCTGGGGTTACCAAGGCAGCGAGGTGATGAGAGTTGGCTGTGTGCTTCCCAGCTGCAGGAGAAGCAAAGCAGCACTTAGGTGGGATGTACCCTCACTGCTCCTAGCCTGGGGAGCTCTCTGCTCAGTCCAAAACCTATGCCTTCTATTGGTGTTGCATTCCCAGGGCTAGAGCTTCAGGAAAGACACCTTGTAGGATAAAGGACCATGTCTACCATTGACTTTGAGCTTGTCCTCATTAGACATTAGTTTGGAATTCCATTTTGGAAGAAGTGTGCTGCCTGAAAGCACACCCCTTTTGACTAAGGTTTCAGTCAGTGACTCCAAAGACAGGACAGTGACACAGGTCTCCACAATTCCCATCCCATTTATTTCCTTTTCTGGCTCTAGGCTGCTGTTCTTTGAAAATCAAAAGCAGAGCCTAAATGTTGGAAGGTCTTGCCTAGTTTCAAGTGAGACAGTAAATTTCGCTTTAAAAAAAATACTTGTAAATGTATTTTTGTTCTTTGATAGTGCTTGCAGATAGGCACATTGCACCTTCAGTTATGAGCATTCTTCTAGCTGGGATGTTTTTGGAAGTCCTGGGTGAGAACGGACAGGGAAAAGAAATGAATTAAGAGGCAAAATACAAAACCTGCCCTGAGGTGATTGCAATTAAAGCCCCAGAGAACTACACCAGTGCGCACAGAAAGATCCTGCAGGCCACCCAACCCTGTCAGTGTCCTCCTGTGTTTTTGTTTTTGTTTATTTTGTTGTATTTTTCTTAACACATGAGAGCAAATCAATCCATGATACAGAAAAAAAAAAAAAGAATAATAGCAAAACTCATTGGTGCCCCTTTCAGAGGAATGTCATTTTTCAGCTTGAGTCTCACGGATCTTTGACCCAGGCTTTCCTGAGGATGCAGAGGTGTTCCCACCTCTTTGACCCTGGAAACCACGCAGGCCCAGGCTTGCTTGTCCTCAGAGCAAAAATCCTAGAGCTCCTTTTCCAAGACCCAAAGGCGGAGTGTATGTTTCTGGCTTGCCCCTTGCTCCTGTGCCCCACTGGACTACTCACCACTCACCGCACCTTTAAAGTGCGTCTTCTCCAAGGAATCATAGACAAACTGCACCTTGCTCAGCCTCCAAGTCGCCTCTGATCCTTTGGAAGTGTTGTGACTTTCCTGCCAAGATGGGGAAGCTCCTATGAACCGCTCCAACTGCTTTAATATGGGCAAGCCCAGAGGCCACTACCACGAGCACCCACGCGGGCTTCACCATCCCTCTACGCTCCCCGCACCGAATTACCTTTACAAAGAGCATTTTGAGTGTGTAGGCATGATCTACCCAGAACACCTGCAGCTCCGACTCGTTGTGGCCACAGCGGCCCTTCACCTCAGCTCCCCTGGTCAAGGAGATCTCAGCCTGCTCTGTGATCAGCTGGGAACACACACGCCCCGCGCCCCCTCAGCTTGCCGAGCCCTGGCGCGGATCGGGAAGGGCTGCGCGTCCAAACTCTAGCTTGCAGGTTTGGGCGCTCCTGTGCCCGCGCGCTCCGGGGTCCAGGAACATGCGGGTAGAATCTTACGTGCACACCCATCCAGGAGGGGAGCAGAGAGGGGGGTTACTTTTAAAGCAGGCAGGGCGAGCAGAAGGCGTTGCAAGCCGGAACCCACATGCAGCATTCGGGAACAGCCTGCAGGGGATTAGGGGGGAAGAGGCAGGCCACTGAGGTCTGGGCAGACCTGGAGGAAGGGTACTCTTTAGCCCTGCAGCCCTGGGAGCAAGCTGGGGAGGAAGAAGATTCCTTACATCCACATAATTGCTGGCCCACACATCATAAGGTACAATAAATTTGGCTGCAAACTCTGCCATGAGACACGTCGTCCCATTTTCCCGCACCACAAATATGTCTTTCTCTGGGTTCGTGGAAAGGCCGGAAAGATTTTCCACTTCTTGTTCTGCCACGGTTCGGGCCATTGCATCTGCGGAACAAGCAAAGCAATCCCCTCGCTTACGGTCTCAGTTAGCCCGCGGCTTTAGGACATCAGACCCGGTTCTCTGCAGGCTTTGTAGTGGCAAAGTTCCCTGTTTGAAGCTGTGTGCTCCGCAAGCCATTTCCCTAGCACAGCGCTAGCAAACTCAAATTCACTGCCTCTGATTTATAATGAAAACAAAATCGAAAATAAAATTAAATCCTTACTTACAATACGACTGGGCTTTTAAAAAGGAAAATGTCCTGCGGTGGGGGCGGGGGGGAGCCAAATCTTGACAGCGCTGTGCCCCACCACCACCACCACCACCACCATGAGTCCGGTCTGTCTAGCGCTCTGTCTGGGTGATGCCGCACAGGTGTGTAGGTCTCCGGAGTTTTCTGACACGGATGGGCCATTCCCATCACCAGCCCCAAATAACCACAAAGCATAAAGACCAGTTTTAAACCTAATTCGAGTCTCTGCAGAGTGCATCCTGTACTCCTGGTCCCCAGACGCTACTCACGGAAGAGCATTAGAAGAATCCGAAGTATGTCTCCGCTGAGAAGGGCTCTTCCTCGGAGATCCATGCTCGCAGTTGCCGTGAACCAAGCAGATGTGTTTCTGCTGCAAAGTCCGCACCGGGAGGAAATCCCTCAAAGTGGTCGGTAGAGTGAGCTAAGGGCGGGGGCGGACAGGGAGGAGCGAGCGTTCGGGTCAGTCCCGTGCTGTAGTCCTCCCGCGGCACACTGCAGAGGAAGGGCCCAGGATGCAGGAGCTGTCCACGCCAAGAGTGCTGGAAATAACGAGGTTGTGTTTCAGGATTTTTAATTTGGCTTGTTTAGAGGGCCAATAGGGTTGAGGTGATGTGGGGGAGGAAATTTCTACCCAGGTCTGCTTTCTTTTCTGCAATGGTATCTGCAAAGATGAGTCTTTCCTACGAAACTTAATGCCACCCTCGGACTTACTAAACCCTCCCACCAGGTACAGTCAATATGTACTGTAGCTACAACGCTACCAGAGCCCTGAAAGAAACCCATAAAGCTCAGATTGGCGTGATTTTGAGAAGGAGGGTAGGCAGGAACCGAGAAGGAAAATGCTATGGCAACAGTTTCCTGCTTTCAGAGACATCCTTTCTATCTGCTCAAGAGCTGCTGAGTCTGAAGTTAAAATGACACCTCTTCAAAAGGGGCTCCACACAGTGCAGCCTATCCCTGTGGACCAAGCAGCCCGTGAGTTCCACTCTCTGAGTGCATGTGGCCTGTGCTAGCCTCATGCAAATAGTTCTGATCATTCTGTTAAGAGGGTTTCAAATAAACCTGAAGCTTGTATGCATGCAGGATTATCTGGGGTCTTGTAGGACAGAAAATTTGGAACTATACTGTATATGAAGACCTGTAGTTATGTAACGAAAACACGGGTATTACTCTAAAGCTTCTAAGTGGAGCAGAAAGGCAAACATTACTAGATAATTCCCATGTTTGCATTTTGGTAGTTCACTGGTTTGTTTGTTTGTTTTTTTTTTTTAATTCTTGCTCTACAAATCAGAATGCACCGCTGTTGGAGTAGACATAGTGCCCTCATTAATTGCAATGATATTTTAAATAGTTCTTTTATTAGCGGATATTGTGTTAGGTCAATAAATAATAATCGCCTTAAACATAATGTCATAGCCAATGTCGTGTTGGAGGGCAAACTGCAAAGCATTTTTACCTATGTTGTCAGTTTGAATTTCCCCATGACTCTGGAAGCTGAGCAAGGTTATTGTTATACCTACCCCAAGGTGAAACACTGAGAAATTAAATGACCTTCTCAAATGTCATATGACCAGTTAGAATTAAAATAGAAAAAAATCACATTTTAACTTTATAGGGATCATGTTAATTTATCTTTATATAATACTTTGACTCCAAAACATAGTACATTGTGACTGCCATTACAAATCTTTATTAAATGACAGACAAGCTGAAACATAAAATATCAACCATCCACATTCTTGACATGTATGAAGTGCTGATTTAAGTATAGACATATTCTGACATGGTATTTGCTTCAAACTGTCAATATAATTCTCAGCATGCAATCTTTTTAAATCCTATATGAAAAATTAGAACACTAGTAACTCATAAGGTGAGTTAAAAAGTAATACTTGAAGTAATACTGTGGCATTATATCTTTTTGTATATATATGCATTCTGGAATTTCATCAAAAATTTCACAACAATCAGATATAAATGATTACATAAACAAAATGGAGACAAAATTGTGATTACTATGATTTCAGTTCTTATCATATATATAAAACATATATCTTTTGTTATGTTAGCAATGATTATATAATACTTATTTTTCATGTGGTACTGTAAAACTTATAAAGGAAGGACATATTCATCTTCTGTGTATGTGTTTTTCCATCTGTCTGTCTCTCCCTGTGTCTCCCTCTCTTCCTCTCCCTTCCCTCCTCTCTCTCCATTCTTCTTCCTCCCTCTCTCTCCTACTTTAATAAGGAAAGAAAAGGTAGATTTCCAATTCGGATGTATTACGTACATTTGTGACCTTCTACAGGATTTTGTTTTTCTTGTCTAAAAAATTGCTGTAACATTTAAGGCAGTGTTTCTCAACCTTCCTAATGCTGTGACCCTTCATGGTTGGAGATCCCCAACCATGAAGTTATTTTTATTGTTACTTCATAACTGTAATTTTGCTGTTATGAATAGTAGTGTAAATATCTGACTTTTCTGATGGTCTAAGGTGACCCTTATAAACATAGTGTTTGACCCTCAAAGGTGTCTCAACCTATGAATTGAGAACCACTGACTTAAGGGATGGCTGATTAGGTCAATTGAGACACTGCATTTAAACATAATCAAAATCAAATACACATTGAAGCCATCCATAACTTTAGCCGAGTACTAACCACTTGCATTGTACATAATGAGATAAACAAAAGCAGGAGAGTTGCGTGTAAAAAGATTTATGGTGGTTTTTTTCATAGTACATTATTGCAGCTATCATTAACTTATGAGTTGTTGAAAGGGCAACTAAATTCATTCATGATGGCCTATTTGCATAAGATAGTATATGGGTAATAGTTTGACCAATGATTTTAACTATTTTGCATGATTCGTGTAATTGTGCTTTTTCAACAATTGTTTCTTTCCATTCTTTTTTTATTCCTGATAAAAAAAAGATTCTTTATTGACACGAAAGAGTATTAAGCATCTTGAAAGAAAAAAAGTGGGAAAGGCAATATTATTCTTTCTTTCTGGAAGTATTATCTTCAAACATCAATTAATACAATATGTTTGTGTGTGCACACAGGCTTAATCTTAAACACAGTTTACACCTGTAAATATCTATTAAGTCATTCAACTTATCACCTATGACTTTTATTTGCAATACAAACTAGATTATTAAATCTGCAACTTGCATCCATACTTAATTTAATAACTGTCTAATCATCTTGAAGAAGATATATTCAGGCCTTCACAGAATCAGAAAGTGATGAAAATTTTAGCAATAAATCATACTCTGGATATTGACAAATGGGGCTGAAAAGATAGCTTAGTTGTTAATAGTGTTGGCTGCTCTTCTAAAGGGTCCACTTCAATTCCCAGCACCAACATGGCAGTTTACAACCATCTGTGACTCTAGTTCCAAGTGACAGGATGCCATTTTCTGGCTTCTATGGTACATATATAGTACACAGATATTCATGCAGATAAAACATTTGTACACATAAATAAAGATATTAACAAAGAACTCCAGAATAGATTTGATCCATTTCTCACACCTGGAGTGTGAAAACATAGAAGTGGTATAGTATTGATTGTTCATCATAGCTACTGTTGGCCAACACCAAATGTCAGATATGAGTATAACTCAATACAGTAGGTTTGTGATTTCCAGTAGATCCTATGGGTCCTACAGTGGACTCACTCCAGTTCATATACTCACCAACGGCATTAGTTTTGTGACTCTCATATTGTCTGATGAACACTTTATTATGCAAGTGATGGAAGTGCCTCATATAGAACATCCAGCTTAGGTGGGAGAATGGAAGATTACTTATGAAACTGTAGTGCTTTGTTTATTGTTTCTCTGGCAATTTATATACATACATATGTAAAACAATGGCATCTACAAAACTGGATCCAAATAAAATTAAACTTTTCAAGTTGGTGCATTTCCACAACCAACTTGAATAGAATCAAGACAAAGATTATAAAAATCAAGAAATGTTACTTATTATAAAGTCATGTTCCTGTACTTCACAAAGCAAAGGCTAGGCTTTGTTCCAGATGAAATTTGGGTACTCATATTTCTATCCACTTCACAGTGTAGTATAAAAATGATACTGCTGTACAATACCAATGCCATAGCAGCCAAGTGCATAAAAGCAGGATAATTCAACTATAATAAACTAGACTCACACACTCTCACCCAAGCCTTCCCTTTGTTTAGCTCACTACAGAACAACCATCTCATTTCATCAAACATTATATATCTCAAGTCCTTTCTAGAATATAAAACAATTGAAGATAAGGGTGGAAATATATGTTTTCATCAGAATATTTGTGCATATGCTGTCAAATGCTATGCTATTTAGAAAGAATCTGGACATTGAGATTGGATTTCTGATGCAGTAAACCTTCCTGGGCTTGGTGTAATTGCGTTTATCCTATTATTTTTGTCCCTCCCACATTTATTCAGCAAGAGCTCTTTCTACAAAGAGGGTAATCAGTGAAAGAAACAACCAGAATAATATCTTTTCATTGGCTTTGTTTATGGCAAGCCCCAAAGGAATATCGTGTATGAATTCATTTTTCAAAATGGCTTCAACCGTGGAGGGTTGAGGAGACAAGAGGATGCAATTCACCATGGAGGGCTGAGGAGACAAGAGGATGCAATTCACCGTGGAGGGCTGAGGAGACAAGAGGATGCAATTCACCGTGGAGGGCTGAGGAGACAAGAGGATGCAGAACTTAGTAGTGAACGAATGCAAAGAAACCATTTCCATCTTTGTACCAGTCGTAGGAGAAGGGTTTTGGTTAGGTTTTAGTTCACCAGGCAGGGCTTCAGGTACTACCATCTCCAATGTGTAAGGTCTTAGCCATGGAGCAAAGTTGAACTGTTTCTTAGCAGCAAGGAAAACCGATAAATTGGGGCAAAGTTAAAACAAGAGTCACAGAAGTTTGTTGTTTCATCTTTAAGCTGTCTCTCCAAGAAATAGCTTCACTACAGACCTAAATAACATTAAACAGTCTAAGAATCACTTAAAATGATTTGTTACCTGGCTTCTGAGATCGTTTATGTACTTAAAATCTCTTTTAAGAGGTGTCAGTCCCTGGGGAAGTCAGTCATTTTAGTTACTATTTTAATTGTCCAGCTGAAAATATTTTCATATTACCATAAAGCTACACTAGGGTCAATAATGGCATTTGGAGAAAGGATGAGAGTGGAAAGGAGAGGGTTTAGTGCTCTAGTAGAAGTCATTCAAGGCAGGCAGCTGGTGTGCCCTGAAATGCCCAGCTCCCAGCTACTCCATGTTTGAGGCCTTTTTTATGACTGTTCTTGTGAAAACGTTGCACCCTGTTCTAGTAATGACAACAACAAAAGCTGAAAAGAAGAAGGCAAACCTTTCCAAAGGAATGACGCTAGTACATAATACCTGTATCTATGACTTTAAGTGGGAACAGAAACTGAGAAACTTCTGTAAAAATACTGAGAATTGGTGTGTGTGTGTGTGTGTGTGTGTGTGTGTGTGTGTGTGTGTGTGTTTAAGTATGACAGGAGAATGTACTAAGTATGAGTATGGAACCTAGAAACCTCACAAAGCTAGGAGAGTCTAGTTCAGGATTCAGGATCCTTTGACTGCACCTATGAGTAGGTCCCCTGTGAAATTTAAGCCTGACAGCTTCTGCCACATAAAGGGAGAGAGATACAAGCATTGTATCATGTATATGTATATATAGGTACTATATCATATATACTAGAGCATATATAGTATAC